TGACTGCATCCATGATGTTCTAGTATGTACATATTTTATTTGCATGACTGATGTAGACAGCCATTGTAGACGTCACATGGTGTGCTCAGATTAACTACATTGAGATTATGAACTAAGGCGCTACACCAACATGCATTTTACCAGTAGGGTTTCGTAGAATCTTCTCCTGTAACATCTCACTGCAACAACTCTGTAGTACAAAGCAGTTACTGTCAGCCTGACGCTCTGAATATATCACAAGTGTTCTTACCTCTTACTCTCCTCTGCAGCCCATCATGTCTTTCATTTGGGCCACCAACTGGCAAACAAGAGCCTATGGACAGTGCACTCACTGTTAATTTATGTTTGTGCCATTTCAAAACACAGATCAATTTGTCACAGTAACATTTCAGGAATGAACAAACTTTTAGAAGTTACAGCAAGGCATTGGCTTCTCATAGCAAAAACATTTTGGCTCAAACATAACTTTACAACTACCAATTTCTTCAACACATGCTTTAAACCGAAGGAATATAAAAACCTTTAGCAAGAAAAACAGTCAGCACGCAAATAACCAAGACCTGAACAGCTCCCATTGCTTCAGTCACCAAGAGGAAATGCTACCTGTGCCACATGTGAGGGTTAAAAAGCCCATCATGCTGGTGACACAGCTGTTGCTGATCAGCTCTAATTGGCTCTCACCTCAGAGGAGTCAGTGGGCCTGTCTCCTTCATCAGCAACATGTGAACCTGTACAAAGTGCATATAGGGTACGTGGGGACTTTGCTGTTGCTGCTCTAGAAACAACATCTAGTGATATTGAAAAGTCAGCAGGCGTTTCTCATTTCTCAGTGTGTACCTCCTCTCTTGGCCTCGGCTGTGTGCCTTTTGCCTGTGAACAGGAGATCATTTCAGCCCTCAGCTTGATGAGGGTGAACGTTTCATCATCATCAACAGCAAAAGTTGATCTCAATAACTTATAATATAAATTATGAATAAATTATAATAATAACAATAATAACTTGTTCAGAGAAGATGACTTTCAGAGATTGTTTACCATAAATATTAATGGTGGCATATGTTGACATCAATTTACATACAGACCAGCTTTTACTATGATTTTATGTATTAATTTAATTAAACACAGGCAAATATACTTTACATTGCCTTTTGGTTTATGGTTTACCATTTGCAATGTGCACTTCTATGGATGCTGCCACTGTTGTGTGACGTCAGACAGATAAGGTCGGGGTGGATTACAAGCAGAAACTCTGACTTTAATAAAATTCACATAAATTCTTTTTGATTTCATTCATTATAATGACGGTTACACATAAAAATATCTTCCTGAAGTTACTTAAAATGAAAAAGACTGCAGAGATGTACTGATCATTTTCTTGATGACAGATTTGATGACGCTGCTCTTTCTGCTCTGCTGCTCTCATGCTGCCTGCTCTCCTCTGCTGCTGTGCTCTCCACTCCACTGCATTATTTTCTCTTCTGCCAACAACAATATGAATCATCAAATAATCCAGATTAAGGTTACAGTAACAGTTTGTTTACAACAGTAAAGTCCCTATATACGCTTATCATACACTTTGTACAGGTTTGTGCTTATGAAATGAGAAAGGACTACTGACTCCTCTGAAGTGAAGGTATATATATATATATATATATATATATATATATATATATATACCTATAGTATTATAACATCATGGATGCAGTCAGAATTGAATATTTGTTCTGTCATGTTGAAATAAAGTTAGACAGACCAGCGAGGCTGCGGCAGCCAGCAAGGCGGTCAGTGAGGTCCCCAGTGAGACAACAGCGGTCAGTGAGGGCCCCAGAAAGCCTCCAAGTGAGGCCCCTGCTGCCAGCGAGGCCACCGGTGCAACCACAGTGGGCAGCAAGGCCCCGCTGTCCAGCAAGACTGCTACAATGGTGACCTGACGAGTGCAAACAGCAGCTAATGTCAAATTTTAGGCTTTTACAATGAGTATCCTCATAAAGTGCCCATTATGTAGTCTGCACATGTCATTCCAAAAGCATGGTGACAGGTGCAGCTGGAGCTGTAGGCTACTTTGGAGAGAGGAAGAGAGAGTGGAGCAGAGAACAGAGATGGGGGAAAAAGAAACAAGAGAGAAGGGGGAAAAAGAAGATTAGGATATAGAAACAAAACGAGGACTGGCAGCAGTATGGACCATCTAAAAAACTACATACAACATCTTCATTTAACCTCATCTATTGTTCAGCAGATAGCCCCTTAACTAGTATACTAGCTCTTTTCCGAGGCTTTGTCCAGTTGTTTCTCAGGCTTATAAAACCAACTGCAGCCTTTGAGATAAGCAGCAGAGCCTCTTGGATATAGTGGACCATGTCTGACACAATCGAAAATGAATACAGAAATTAAAAAATGCTCAATGAATAAATAAAATATCCTATTAAATAAACCAAAAATATAAAATAAAAATGAATAAAGGGCAGACTTGAATTAAATTAAACAATTACATATAAATGTATATATATATAATATATATTTATTAAGTAGTTATTTCTACAATGTATTAATTTATGTGTTTGTTTTAATATTTTATTCTTCTTGGATAGGAAAGACTGGGCTGGAAGACACTCATTTGTGATACTGTTTTTAAAAGTTCAGGCAAGTCAATGGGATAAAACCCCTATGGGACCTTTGAGTAAAAAGCTGATTGGGTAACAGAGGCTCTAATTGACCTTATCAGTAAAATAAGATAAAAACAATTCGCAATCATCAACACATTCAGCTGAGGCACAAGGATGGACTGGATTTACTTGCTGATCCACAGTCTTAAATAGAAATCTAGGATTAAATGAGGTGTAGAAATGAGTTCAGAAAATAGTGTGTTCTCGGATCCTTAACCATGTTATTGTAGTTTAATAATAAGTCCTTCATACTGAGGTAATGAACTTTGATACTGGATTTTTTCCATCTGCACTCTGCTTTTCTGCATTCCCTTTTAAAGCTGCACATGTTGTTGTTCTTCAAGGGCTGCATACTAGCTGCAGACTTAACCTTGAGAGGTGCAAGAATGTTTAATGAGGACAAGCAAATCTGATTGAAATGGTCAGCCAGATCGTTGGTGGCATGAACCTTGGTGGGGTCATCAGCATGAATATTAAAACTGCCACAAAGAACACCTCTGTCATAATTCAAAGTAGTAGGAGTAGATGAAAGTTCAGGAATTTTTGCTAAAATCCTCCAGGTGTTTTTGCGGGACTATAAATTTTAGCAAATATGATCAGTTGCAGGCCACCAAGTTTAAAAGTGAGAACTTTAAATGAGGCAAATTCATCACGTGATGACATTTATAGTTTTTCCTGTTCACACTCACTAGACCACCACCACGACTACGGACTCTTGGTTGGCAGAAATTATCATGCTGAGGAGGACACAGTTCAGCCAGCTGACTATGGTCATTAGTTTGCAACCAGGATTCAGTTAAAAACATAATATCTAGATTTGCAGACAAAATATAATCATTTAAAATGAAAGTCTTACTTGAAAGTGATCTCACATTGAAGTCCAACTAAGGTTGAGGTCAAGGGCAACTGGACTTGGATAACTATGACCTGGATGACTGGGAACCTTCACAGACATCTCACATTGAAGAGTGCTATTTTAAGTGTATACTTGTTGCTGGAATTTGTGTATTTGTGTTAAGAGATTATTAGGATTTCTGTGTGGATGACAAATCCACGCATTATCGTTAATATCAAAAGTCTTTTGAACAGCGCTCGGAAGAGACAGAGTAAAATGCCGACGGGTAGAGATAGTACTCGAGGAGGCAATTATCAGTGGCAGTGAGGCAGAGTTCTGTTCAGTGACAGGTGGTGTGTCCAGGTGTGCTGCATGAATGATTATTCATTTACGTAAGTCAAGTAGGGAGGACCGCACCGCACGCTCTATATGGGCAGCTAACATTCCTGAGCCCCGTTTGTATGGGTGAAGTTGGTCTCTCTTAAAAAGAGATGTTCTTTGGTGCATATAAAAGGATGTTTTTTAATTTTTTATTCTGTATTTATTATGATTTCTCTTTTTGTGTGTTTCAGGAATTGCGGGAGACTGCAAAAACCAACTTCTGGAAGAAGCAGAGCACTTTGATGCTGTTTGCATGTCAGATTTAAGTTTGCATGGGATTAAATTAAATTTAATGAAAGTCATCCCGCCATACAGTGATGCACAGAAACCTCTGAAGATCCAGTTGATTGTGGTTTACTTCAGTTTTTGTTACAATAAGTTTAGTATTATGGCCATACTAATCTTATTATCAATAACCAATAGATTTATCAGAAGTGTATATCACAGAATAACCGAGTACAGAAAGACCATATTAATGCAGGTTTATAACTAAAACACTGTTGACCTTTTCACAACAATCCAAAAAGGGTCATTCTTTGTTACACCATAAACACTATACACTGAGTTGGAAGTTCATGTTTTAATCAGCTACTCTATTATGGTATGTTGGAGAAAAACAAAACAGGATGTAAGAGCTTCCAGATTTTTTTCTCTGCCGTTCCAAACAACCTACAGAAACTCTTATGTTAATTTCCAGTCCAACCAGTGGAGAATGCTGTCAGTTTTATATAAATAGGGTGAGTGTGCTACACCTTATTACATACAGTATAAAACCCTTAAAGGAAATTTAAACACAATTGAACATGTATTATGCACATAACATAAATAACCTGATAATTTAATAAATGTTATACCTTTGCACTGAGATGGCATGTAGTGCACTCAAGGAGAAAGTAAGTGAAATATAAGCAATATACAGCTGTAAGCATACAGCAGTGCAATGTAATGTCACTGCATTTTGAACTCTGGAAAATGTAACTCGCCCCACCTATAAATTGTCCCTTTTGGGTCAGGGCCCATTGTTTAATAAACACTGTTATTGTCCCTTCTTAAAACTATGTTTCTGTTTTGGTCCAAACCAAGCCATTGCTTAAGTGTGAGTGAATGGAAATGACACCAACAGAATTAAAATGTATTTATTGCTGAAACACAACAGACACGAGCTAACCATGAAAATGGGTCATTTGCAAAAAAAAGAAAAAAAATACAGCAACAGTAATAAAATCTGAGCCCTATTCGAAAGGGGAAAAAAGTGTTTTTTACAATGTTAAACAACCGTCGTATATCCAATCATTTTATCCAGTCGAATCAATAAACTAAAGAATGGCAATGATATTGCACCTTAGATGGTGCTTGTTATTTTTCTACATTCAAATGACAAATGGTAGCGTTGTAATAATGTAATTCCAACAGCAGACTGCTATCAGACCAACTTTACTGTGGGAAGCCTTTCTTCTCTGGACTCAATTTTGATTAGTGAAGCAGAAGTGTAACTGAGAGACAGTGACCGTACAGAGGCTATGGAATGGTCAATATAAGTATTCTTCTTCCACTGGCGAAAGAGTTTAAATAAACTGCTTGCAATGAAATGATCACATACACACATCAGTCATGCTATTACAATGTAAATTAAAAAACTGCAAAACTACACTGAGCAGTTTAAACCTGGTACTCAATTCAAGCAGGACATAGTTTATTTCATAGTGCATGTTTGTCTTCTTAACCTTATATTAAGGTCTATGTCCTGAAACTGAATGTTCAACAAGCTCTTATGGCCATCTTTAAGTGCGCTTATGGTGCATTAACAGTCTTGGTTTGAAAAAAGAAAATTGCTGTCAGCATTCAGTCTGTCTAGCCTTAGCCATCCAGTCAGATCTGGCCACCAGTAACCTCAGTCTGTCACCTGATGACTGGATCAGCTCCTTTCCACTAACAGAGACAAAACACAGACAAAGAGGTGGGACATATGTAAATATACATATATATATATATATATATATATGCTGCCCAAATGTTTGAACTGATTTTGCTCAGATTTGAAATTGAATCATTCTTACCTGTTGTAGTCCAGTCCAAGCAGACTGACTCCGTTAACAGCCAGGATCCTGTCTCCTGGTACCAGCTTCTCACATCGCGCTGCGGGGGAGTCTGGGACCACGGCACGGATGAAGATGCCTTTCACCCTCAAGGAAGTGTCCTGGAAGATGAGGTCAAAATGTCAAGGACTCACTGATGCCCAAGATTTTGTAGACAGCTGCCACACTGCAACCTTTTTAATCCCACAGCATCCCTTTTCACATCACCCATGTTTTCTTATTCTTTATCTTCTAAAAAAACCCCAGTAATTTAGAAAGCGGGTATATTATTTATAATTATTTGATTTGTGGACATGGGGTGG